TTATATTTAATTTATTAGAACTACTATTTTTCAATTTGTTAATTATGTAGAACGGAAAACTGATATTCGCAAAACGTTTCTATTAACTTTATTAATCTTCGCTCGTGACAACTGTTCTCTATAAAGTCTCGGTCTGCGTCGCGACATAATTGCGGCGGGAGATAGATTATCAAGAAGCTCGACGATTCTCCTACACGGATCGATGCGCGCAATCTGGGGTACCGCATGAAGATGTTGCTCGAAGGTTATTATCATTTGACTGATGCGATACGGGGGAGTTTGTAACGGATGGGGAAAATGGATGACGGATACCGCGGGATATTATTATGTCATACAGACGGAGAGAGAGAGAGAGAGCACAGAGAGCGAACAATATAATCATATTTGCCTTATAACAGCCCATCGTACTCCCCTCCTCCCCCACCCCCATACACCCTCAACACGATTCGACAGTTTGCGTACACGGGCGAGCCAATTTCGCTGCGGGTCGACATTCCACCCGCGTTAATTACGCAAACAACCGCACGAGAACAAGTAAGCCAAAAGTAATCAGCCGAAAGTAAGTCAGTGGGTTTTCTGTTTGAAGCTACGCGAGAGAAACTACGTTGATACTTTTTTCTTGAAATTAAATGTTTAAATTTCCAGCTTTTGTTTGCACACGTGGCTTATGAAATCACGGGATTCTCGTGATAGAGAATCCAGTAATTACTTCAGACAAAAGAATTGTTTCTCAGTTTATTTAAAGTATGTCAATTATATGTCAAGTATAAAATTTTCTTATTAACTCTAGATAACTTTTAATAATAATAATGTTTTTATCTTTTAACTTAATTATATATTATATAAATCATAAAACATAATCATCATAATCATCAGGATAGTTAAAAATTTTTTAAAAATATTAGTTTTACGAGATCTGTCTTAATTTTCTAACGTGAATAGTGTCAAACGTATTTCCCATCATCGACAGTACCTGCGCAGACGCGTGTCCTTCTTACACTTCCGGTATCACGCGCGTATATTACACAAGACCTAGCTGATCGAACACAGCGTATCACATTAACCATGTGTCAAGGTACACACGCGGATCTTGCTTAACTGCGGATGTACCATAGCGAACAGACACCGTGCTGTGACAAGACACAAACTACAAGGCAGTATTGGTTCACATCTCTTGTTGATCATACACGACTCAAAACAAGTCCGTAAAACATCAAAATTATTCTTCTAAGGTTGTAGCTATCGAAGCTTTTATTAGACACTGTAATTATTTATGATAATTTCCAATTTTTTATATATAAATTTCTTTAGAGGATTAAGGACAAAGATTTCTAGATAAACAAATAATAATGATAATAATAAGGAGAAGTTTCTTAAAAGCGATATATGAAATTGGAGATAAACCTTATTAAAATAATATTTTACGAAATAAAAGAGTCGGAAGGGTTCTTTATATTCGCTGCTTCAAGATACTCTCGCGGTACACAGTAATTATTGGATCATGCGAAATTGATTTCGGAAACGTTTGCTCAAACACGGGGTAGGGACAACAAGATACGCGTGCGATTGCCAGGCGAGGAGTGGGCGACAATAATTAAAGGCGCGGTCGGATGGAAAGTAACCGGGTGCACTATCGATCCGAATGCATCGATGAAAGCCGCTAGGGCGAACGACAGGGTAGCGGCCCGATAGACGCTATCGCGCTCCGGTGGTCGATCCTTTAAATTAATCGCTATGAAACGCCATTGCAACGGTGAAACCGCAGTAAAAATGAAGCGCGCGCGCCTCGATCCCCCGCTCACTCGCGTTGCGTTCAATTCGCAATAAGAGCCACCGACTCGGTACCCGATAAGAGCCGTCGCCGCTGATCGCGTGTTATACATTCGTGATCGCTGGAAAATGTAAACTGGTTTTTATTTACTGAGCTAGTGCGGCAAATTCCGATGTAATCGACGGAAAATGCGATGAAAAGAAACTGCCCATTTTATATCCGAGTCGTAACTCTAAAAATTATCGTTATATAACGTAATTAACAAATTACAAGGAATTTTAAGTAATTGTACACTAATCACACTGATATATTATGACGAAATTATATCGATTATAAATTAAAAATTAATGTATATACTTGAAAAGAAATACCATAAAAGTCTTTATTCGACTCTTACATAAAAATTCATGAATGATAAATACATGTATAATAAAAGTAACTGCAGATAACGTTATCGAACATATAATAAATATAATTACATGAAAATAATAAAAAAGATTTTATATAACGTACGTGTTTTAAATTTTGATAAGAATTAAAAATTAAACAAAAGTTAAAGTCAATTTGTATGTTACTTAACAAAAATAATGATAATAAATTAAAAATTGCAAAATTTGAATGGAAGAAACACATTAATTCGCAAAATTTTTGAAAGAGATACGTAAACACTAGTCACTGATGTGAGACAGCCTTGATGGATGGTTTCATGTAACAATGAGCCGTACTGTAAATTAATCGCCGCGAAACGTCAAAAAGCGCTATTGAAAAGCTATACGGCTGTCGCATTCAATTAAAAAAAGAAGTATAGGTCGATGACTACGTGTTATACGTCCACAAATATAATCTATATCTTCCAAAAATTATTTTATAAGAATTCATATAAAATAATTTTATAACTGATATTGACAGATAAATAATCTCCCGTTTCGCCGAAGGTTTGTGGAAAGAAACCATATGTATAATATTGAATCGATTTTATCCTAAAATTTTTTCCTTGACAAAAGATGTCAATATTACACAAACCTGTAATTAAATCTTCATCTGAAACAAATATAATCATAACTTTTATATTTTAATTTGAATTATTAAAATATATTTTTTATTTTTTAAATCCTATTGTATATGAATTTTTTAATATTAGATGGAATCAGAAGATCGATCATGTAAATGTCAGTACATTTTTTTTCATTTATTTCACCTTTCATCATCTCAAATCTCACATAGATTTTATTCAATCAAATTTTATTCCGAAAAAAGTTACGTGATCACGATTTCAACAAATTCGTGTGAAAAATCTCACTTTTTATTTTTTTTACTGGACGGGAATATAACATAACACGGTCGATCCCTGGATTTACAGTAAACGTAGTTGAATTCGAATCCTTTGAAACGCTTTTTCAATTTCTTCAAAAGTTCAGAACAATCTTATTTAATACTATAAAATTAAGATATGTTAGAAATATTTATATAATTTAGAAAAATATAACACATGAATTCTTAATTGAAATCTTGTATTAAAAACTAAACATTTTTTATAACGTTAAATATTTTTTTATGATTTTAGTATTTATCTAAATAAAAATTCCTTTTATTTATTTTTTTATTATCTTACTTTTTTAAAAATTTGTTTTATATCAAAAAAATTACTGCAGTTAGGGAACTGCATGTCTAACTTTTTAACTTCATACAAATTGCACTTCTACCTATATAATGCCCGACATAAAAAAGTACAATAAACTCCAGTACATAAAAGGATAGAGAGGAGAGTGGAGAGAGATCATTTTGCAAAATCTTTTCTGTCTCTCTTTTTTTCTTAATTATCATTCACCCATTTAAGTTTCATAACCTGCTTGATTAATTCTTTGAAAAATTTCTTATTTAGTTAAATTTAATTCTGTTATTTAACAGAATTTTATATTATTTTATATTATATTTTTTATTATATGCAATATTTTCAATAACAGCAAAGCACTCTTTGTGAACAGTT